TACTCATATCATTTCCTCCATAAGTCATTAATTCGTAAACCATCCCTTGGTTATCTCTTGCTTTATTACCCTTAAGATCACTAATTGTTTGCTTGATTTCGTTGTCGGTTATATCCTCTTCTGTAATTCTTTTGTTTATAGTTCTTATTCTTTGAAATGTTTTTTCTACTGATTCATAAATTTTACGGTCTTCCTTATTTTTTATGGGGTTTTCTCTAAGCAGCTCTTCTAAATATTCCACATATTCTTGTTTTATTTGGTCCACCTCCTCTAGCTTTACATCTGGGCAATTTCTCTTTATGACCCATGATGCTTTACTTTCTTTACTCGGTAATAGCCTTTTTCGTATTTTCCAAAATCCACTCGAGTTTATACCACCTTGTTTCTTTAGTTCTTCTAATTGTTTCCAGAGTTTATTGTTTCGTTCCTTTTGTAACTGTATTCCTATTCGATTATTTATTAGTCTTATTCTTTCTTCTGTCATATCGCTCAATTGGTAATTTTTGTCTTGTTTGGCTTTACTCAAACTTTTTAATCGTCGCTTTAGTGTCAAATAGCTGCTTCATTTCCTTGCTTATCCGTGTACCTCCCCCTTGCTGATGTCTTGATAAAACCCCGATATTTTGTGTTTTATAATATTATTCCATTTAGTATATAATTCTTTGAAGTTACCGGTTTCTTCCCATATTTTAGCTAATTCACTATTATTTGTTGCTTTTTTCCATTCGTTGAGTCCTTTTTGATTCCTAATATTAAATTGATTTTTTGGCTTGGTATCGTTACTTTCGGTCTTTCTTTGGAAGTTTATATTTACCTCTACTACATTGTGATCACTGTACTTTGCTATTGTTTTTCCTTCTCTATTTTCATACCTACACAGTCCCCAAAACCTATCTTCATCTATCTTCATCTTTGTTATTTTAGTTTCTAGTTCCCTATCTATGATCACATAGTCAATTATGGATTTCTGTACCCCCTGGACCCTTGTCCATATCCCTTCACATTTTTGGGTCCGATTTAGTATAATTAATTTATTTCTTTTGACCATGTCTAGAAGCTTTCTCCCCCCCCTTTGATATTTCTTTATTATTCCCCGGAATGGTTTCACCTACTTTAACATTAAAATCTCCTATTATTAGACACATTTGGTCTTGCTGATTTGCTTTTATTACCTCTTCCTCAATTGTTTCAAACATTTTACTAATATCTTCTTGTGATGTTCTTGACTCTTGTGGTCCATAAATTATCCCTAGTCTAAGTTTAATGTTTTTATTGTCTATTAGTACCCATTTTTGTTCACCCGCTTCTCTAACCTCTTTAATCCCTATTGTTACATTATTTACCTTCTTCTTTACCCCAAGCAGTATCCCCCCTCCCATTTTATCAGTTCTATTTAATGTATAGATTTCATAGCCTTGTATTTTCATGGTTTCTTTACATGTTAGGTGGGTTTCCACTATTGCGATTAAAGCGGGAGCTTTGTTTTCGATTATATCGATCAGTGATCGATTATTTCGATCAGTGATGCTACCATAGGGCTAGACCGAATAATTAAAATTACTATACATACTTTTATTACCTTTTGACCGTTTTGTTTTATATTTTTTATTGTTAATGTTACGTTCCTTATTTTTTAATACTGAGGACCTGCTGTCCATGTTGGTTGCTGTACATAGGCTTGGTTTTCTGGATTTCCCCATTGGTACTGGTTTCTTTCCAGGTGTGGGGAAACTTTTTCCTGGAGTTCCTGCGCTAAAAACGCCACTTGTCTCTTCAGCTCCTGGATTTCTAGATTCTCTTCCGTACGGTTTCGCATATCCATTATTCTATTTCTCTCCCATGGGTGTGTCGCTTGCCTGTGGTCGAATCGGCAGTTTCTTTCGTAGGGACATGTCTCTCCTCTCTCAACATACCTGCATTTTAACCTGTCGCTTCGCAGCGTTTGTCTCCCTTGCGTTATTTCGTTTTCCCTTCTGTCGTTCGGGCCGTGGCTAAAATTACATCTATAACCAAATTTACATGGTATTCCTTTTTCATAGTTCCAGCACATTTTTGTGTTGTTGGTTCTAATTTTGGGCGTTTCTTCTCTATTACGTCCTGGTGAGGTTTGGTGAACTCTATCCTTCCATTCCATTAGTGACTCACACCATTTATTTATTTTCTTCTCGAGTCTATTGTAAATCTTTTCCTCCATTTCTGTGTGATCGTCTACATCTATCTCCTTTTCTTTTAAGATTTCTTGAGTCGGAACTTTTTCCAGCTCGATGATCTGCGGTTGTAACAGGGCGTGGCGGTACGTCCACCTACCCAGGTCCTCGGTCCGGCTGCGGGAGGGTTTCCTCCCACGGTAGTTGAGAGTAGCGTCGATTACAAACAAGAACACAGGATTCTATGATTCCCTCTACGTGCGTATATTATTAAAAACCTCTGACACCTATCTCTAAGACGTACACAAATTGTCTAGTCTATCGCTTCACGTAACGCGTACAATAATACAATGCTGGGAGAGCCGATTCGTATATCGGCTCTTCTCGCGCGTCGCGTACAAACGTATAATAGTTACCTGCGCGTGATCACTCGGCGGTGTCAGATCTCGGGAGATAGAGCGTAGGAGAGGGAACAGATACTAGGAAGTGGAAGACGTAGGAGATGGAGAAAAGAGAACCTACGTGGCAGAAAGAGGAGACCCGAGTGTGTCACGACACGTCACGCGTCCCGTTTGACGACGGCGGCCATAAAAATCCTAGGACCGGTAGAGAGCAAGGTCCGCTCTACCATGCAAATTGCTCTTTTTTATGATCGTCTTATAAATCGACTTGTTTTTGGAATGGCGAAGCGTCTATACTACACGGTTCGTTTTGTTTTTGTACCTCATTCTCCGTGTCTCTTGTCTTCTCTACCCTTCTAGTTTCATATTCGCTGATTTGGTCTTCCATTATTGATATTACTTTTTCTCCTCTGTTGACAGCCACGGTCATTGCGGCTAACGCTAATTTAGTTTCATTTAAGTCGTTTTTAGTTACACTAAGGTTCTCTTGGCATTCTGCCAGTTCTCGCATTAGCTGATTCAGATTTTTATTTTCCTTTTTTCCTGTATTAGTTTTTTCTTCTAACACTTTTGTTAATTCTTCTAGTCTTTCTGTTATTTGAATCTTTTCATTTTTCATCTCCTCTAGTTTTACTCGTTCCTCTTTTACTTGGTCCTCTAAATTTTTTATCTTATCCCCCCACTTTCTCTTATACTCACTGACCTGTTTTTCCCCCCTTTGTTGTTTTGGTGATTCAATTGGGATTCCGTATTTTCCTTCTGCGCAAATCTGGCAGGTATATTTTCTTGTCGTCATTTCCAGTACCTTTAGCTGGTATTCTGGAAGCCAGGTGCACTGATTGTGGATCTGGTTGGCGATGCGATGCCATAGCTCAGCTGCTTGATTGCGATTTCAATCGCTTATTTGTTTCCTTTATTTACGCTTGTTTAGTCTAATTAGTTATCTAGCTTGTCCGTCTTATTATATATAGCATTAGTGATACTTGCGTAGTTTGAACATTGTGCCTACATTTATTACTAAATATTATTAGTACTACTACTACTACGGTACTAGTACTAGTACTGTAGTAGTAGGTATAAGGTAGGGCTCAGGGATAGAGAAGATGTCCAGTCCTATCTTATCAACTAAGATCATCCTATCCAATGGACATCCGTACTGGACATCATATCTCTATCCTTGAACCTAAGGGAGTAATAAAATAGGCTTAGCCTCATTGGAAGTGGACATTGGCAGTATGGCTATATTATGCAGTAAATCTCACATAAGTCGTCATATTCTAACTCGTCAATTTGTATAAGTCGCCATGGAAGTGAAAGTCCCGATTTTCTCTCATAGTAAATCCATTGGAATACTGAATACCGTTATGCTACGGTTATATAGCATACGGTTGTACCTACATTTATTAAAACTAAATGGCGCGAGAGATTGGCGTAGCAACTCACAGTGAGCATGGTCGCCATTAGACTTGTAACATGTCTCTATATATAGACTATGTAGTAGCAAGGTGTAGATAGGGTACCAGTCTATGCCGCCAGCAACATTGTTACAGCTGAATTTTAAGGACCGTCTAACAACGCACCGGCATAAGTTTCGTGAAACACTTTAACGAGGGACGTTTAAGACAGCGCTAGGCTCTATACAAGACTTCTAAGGATATCCTTAAGATGGTGTTTTTACGATAGCTTCGTGAAACGGGCCCCTGGTCCGAAAAGTGTCGACTTTATAACATGCGAGTTTTACTGTATATACTATAGGGCTACTAGGTGGCAAAGTTTTGGGGACACTTGTGCAGTTACATACTACAGAATATCATAACTTTCTTTTGACTTGAATAATTCTGAAGAAAGTCCTACAAACACAATGTTAAAAAATTGCAACTAAAAGTTTGCTTGTATTTGCTTTACGTCCGTTCGCCAACTGTATATCTCAAGGTTCACGTACAACAATAAAATACCGTAACTTTAGAACTAATCATAAGCCCATCGCGGTCTTATTCGTTACCTTTACTGTTAGTATACCACTTGTATTGATGTGGTTTCAGGTCTGTATTACCGTACGCTTCTTGGCATCTGGGGCATTCTACAATGTCATTGGAGAAGCGATGGGTGTACAGAAAGCGACAGTTTGCAGAGTGTTGGACGCAGTGCTAGACTGCCTTGTAAATGTCGCTAGCGAATGGATCGCATTGCCAACATCAAGACCGATTGGCAGAGGTAATTAGTAATTACTGTACATACAATTAATACATTTGTCACTTATAAAATTTATATTTTACAGAAGTTACACGAATTCATACAGTTAAACAAATGACTTAACCAATTTATATTGCATATTTAACGTATGAGTCACTTAATTTGTGTTTATTTACACTTATAATTATTTTAATATCGCTTTACAAATGTTATTTCAATTCATCAGATCAAGGTTGGATTTTACCGAAAGTGGCAGTTTCCGGGTGTCATCGGGTGTGTGGATGGAACGCATGTTGCAATTCGAACGCCTCCACGAAACGAAGATGTATTTGTGTGCAGAAAAGGGTGAGCTTATATGACACAATTATTTTATTATGAATCAATCACGAGCAAAATTAAGGTTACGTTAATACAAATTATATTAGACACAACAATAGAAAACTGTTAGAAGTTAGCAACAAGAATAATTATGTGTTACAGGTTCCACAGTATCAATATCATGCTGATCGACGACCACAAGAACAGGATTACAGCAGTATCAGCTCGATTCCCTGGTTCTTCTCATGACATGGCAGTCTTCGACTGCTCCAATATCCAACAGAGGATGGAGAACGGAGACCTGGAAAATAAGGGGTTACTCCTGGCAGACAGTGGGTATGTAACAGCTGTTTGTTCATGTGGCCAGAGACTATTATTTTAGCAGTGAGCGTGTCGCGACGCATCTTTTGTATCTAGCCGTTTGACACATCAGTGTGAATGTGTTGTACCAGAATGCAGGGTTATGGCTAAACTGTGCGAGAGTCTGGTGGTGGTCGCGGAAGGAGGCACACGCGCCTATGCGCGTGTGCGAGGTTCTTTGTCTTTGTGCAAGATGTAACTACAGTGTGCGAGCAAGATATTAAAGTTTATTCCGGTTATCACACAAGTTTGGATTTATTTTTACAGGTATGCCTTGAGGCCATACCTCATGACCCCTGTCTTGCGACCTCACAACGACCAAGAGGTAAATTAGTAGCACTGGTATTTATTGTTAAGTAATGGTGAAGAGTGATGTAACTCAAAAGGTAGTTTAATGTTGGAGCTGGTACATGTTGCTTCTTAACCCACACGAACTGGCGAACAAGAGCGAGCGATATCAATCCACGTGGACCTAACAATAATTACTAGATTATAGAATGTGTGCATGCGCATAGGAAGTAGTCAATACTATTACATTTATGTTTCAAGAAAAATGTGACAGTTGAAACTGCTACATTATATGTATGCATGAATATCTATCTATCTATATGTATATATATTTATATATAGATATACTGCTGATTATTACAGGTCAGATACAATGCTGCCCACAAGGGGACAAGGGTAAGCATTGAACAGGCCAATGGCATCCTGAAGAGCCGATTCAGATGCCTTGATAGATCCTCAGGAGGCCTCTTCATTGAAGCAGGCAAGGCCTGCAAGGCGATTGTTGCATGTTGTGTTTTGCACATGTGCATAACGTTTCACGACGTGATGGTAGAAATGCTACCAAATGACGTACATAACGATGACGTAGAACGCTGTCCGGAATTAGACGTAAACGGTAGGATAGTTCGAGATAATCTGATTCGAAATGCGTTTTAATGTCATTTACAGTGACCCAATTTAAAGTGACATACATATTTACGTTCACTCACCTGTAGTTGCCATTTATTCTTCATGTGTATTGTTCATATGTCTGACTATAAATACAAAAATAATGTAGATTAACATTTTAAAATTAAAAAAAGATCTAATAACCATTAATAACAATTTAATAAACTGCTAACTAGTTAATTAACTAGTTGTACAGCATACTCACGTTCTTTTGTAATGTTTCTAAGTTCGTTTATCAGTTCGTCATGTCTTCTATTTCTGTCAAAATTAATGGTTTTGAAATTATGCTTAACTTTAGATTTAAACTGTTATATGTTATAAACAGTTTAGCAACTTAGTCTCATGGATATGGACAGTATAATTAATTAAAATAATTTGTTTTTCATCGTAATCAATTGTCACATTGACGGTAATAATAAATTAAGTTTGTCGTTCAATGCACAAATGTTTGTCAGCATTTATTCAATAATTAAAATTGCGACTGCTGCCACTAATTATCACACACCTCTCTATCTGCTCTTGTCTTTTTATTGCGATATATTCAGTTTCAAATGAGCCTGCAAGTTAAATTTTATTGCATTTAATTGCATTAAAATGCACTAAAGTTTATTGCATACAGAAACTATACTAGGGATTGAAATTCATATTATGTTTATATTATCTGTAAATGAACCTAATACTGAATATAACATCATTAAATAAGTTCATTCGGTTGGTAGAATAAAAATTAACGTTGTTATTCATAAATATAACATGTTTATTTTCTTTCTGTTGGCTTTCTTGCTCTTTTGCGAGCAGGTGAGGGTGGTCCTGGTGGAGATGCGATGGCTTGGAATGCGGGTTCGAGAATAGCTACTCCAGTAGCATCAGCTACACTTGGCCCTAGCAGATTTAATATTGACACTGTAAAATTCAGATAAACAGTTGGAAATACATTTGATACATCAATTTTAGTATAACAATACATATGAAGCATTACCTGCTATCTCCAATCCCCCCATGACTCCATAAATCGTCTCCGGAGGTATGTAGCTTTCTATAACCTGGCTCTCGATGTCGGAGAAATGTATCACCGAGGGTTGTCCCCCACGTGTTAAATCAGAGAAACTAGTGTACATGATTTTAGATAGTGTTCATGTAGGCCACATCTGATATCGATTGATGAATACAGGAACGCATTAATGGAGGTGTCTAGCCTTAACATTGCAACTTTGAGATGCACCAAAATCAGTAACTGTTCGTGTTTACATGGCTTTACTTTACTCATGTGGATGGGGGAGGGGGCTTCATAATGTTGTCTGCGCACCTGTGCGTCGCGCCTCTGTCGCGTTCCGTCTCTCTTTTTTTCGGAGCTCCGACGTGTAATTTGTCCATTTGATTTTGCACTATAAAAATTTATTATGTAAAGGTTTGCACCTTTGCATGAATTTCTTTAATTATAATTAATATAAAAATCTATATGCACGTACCATTTGCCATGTTATATATATATAATATTAGCAATAGAAATTTGTTTACCTCGGAAGGACGCCTGTCCATCATACCGATCGCATTCACAGAGTCTGCAATTTCTCTCCATTTGTCGCTTTTCGTCTTTGCCGTTAGGTTGTTTGACAGCCGACCACGCACCACATCCTGTCTCTCCACGCAGGCCTCAGCGAGGGCTTCAATTTCCTCCCTTCGCCAGTTCGGTCGCCTCTATTCAATCGTCATATGTATATTCAGTTATCCTTATAATACATAATATTTTATCGGAGCCATCACGAAACATGTGTAGGCAAATCGTGACAAATCGCATGCGAATTGATTATGGACTATACCGAAAACGGTATGAGAGACAAAGTTGATCAAATGGATAGATAACTCTACGTAACATATACAACATAATATGTTATGTAACAATACTGAGTGATTGTCTAGTAGACTAATAGCATATTATTTAAAAAAGTGACAGTAAAATGGTAGTAGGTCTCCTTGTATACTTACATGATCCAAAACCTTAGCTTCTGCCGACGGTCTTTCGTTTTCAATTTCCATCTTCAATATTTACTTATTTATTCTGTTATTTCTATTATATTTGCTGCTAATTCGGTGATTGATAAACTTCTCCTTTTCCGGCTTCGATATACTATAGTCACTTAGATGCTATTATTTACTATTATTTACGTGGTTACTGCGACGTACGTACGAATGTTCGCGATCGTGTATGTGATAATGTGTTCGTATGCTAGTCTGCTAGATATGCCGTGTGCAGCAGCTGATCAGCTGCAAAGGTAAACAAATCGTCTGCGTTACCGAAATGCAGTGCGGGATTTCGAACAAGGAGGAAGTTCCGGTTATCGTAAGTTTTCTCATAGCTGCGATGTGTTTCTGTCAACGCTCCTCTCGTAACATTAACATTAGTCGTAAGTGTTATCCTAGCATTAACATTAGCATTAACTTTACGATGTTTCTGACAACGGGCCCCTGGAATTAGCTGGTTACGTCCTCACAGTGAAACACTGTTCGTAACTCATTCACACCTACATATCGTCGGTGCCATGCAAAGACCTCGTAACTGAATTTTTCAAGTTTTTCAGAAGGAAAAAACATGCTAATTTTCAAGCCTAATATCTGCAAAATATATTCAAAAATGAATTCTGCAAATGGCGAAATAATGTTCTTTTCAAAAATCAAATTCACCAGGTGATAATGTCAGATACGAGGATTTCCAGCAGAAATTTTTTCTGAAACTGCACTTCCAAGGTTTGGCTTGTTAGGTACTTTGACGATTGCCTTAGTGTGAAATTCCACGTTTCGGTGAAAAAGGGCCATACATAATGTGTATATGCATCCAAGAGGGTGATGTCAGTAATTGGCATAATCTTTCTGTGCATAATGCTTAAAATTCAGATAACATTGATTGGGTCGCCAGAAATCCGTAGAATTTTGTGTACATACTTCATGTATGCGCTCTACCCAAATGAAGAAGAAGTTTATGATATATTGACAGAAAACCTTTTAATAGAATAGAGACTGCACTACATAACTATCTTCATCTTCAAAATAACTGTTCCCACCATACCAGTCAGGACACCATACACATGACAATAAGAGTTTTCATATTGCCAAGTTTAATTTTAAACATTACCAATTTCCGTGACAATCTATATTCAAACCCTGATTCTGAAAAGAAGAATGGACCAGTTGTAGCCTATTGATAAGGAAGATTGTCATAAAAGGAATGGAAATCGCCAGGAATAACACATTTCAGTTGCTGAAGGTGGTTCCACTTCTGAACTTATATTTTTAATGGTTCTGTATGGAGTACAGGGACGATTTCCTCCCCTGCTTGAGCAGACTGTCGCCTGGACGTGCGGGAAAGTGGTGTCCAGTTTTCATCATCGTGGTGGAGTTTATAATATACTGTACCATCACTGTTGTAGCAAATACATCTCGGTTCACTGACAGTGGGATCTCCTGCTTTGTTTCCAGGGCGAATTGAAGTAAGGCCACTCAGTGAACTGTAATCCTTGAAGAATGCATGGTCAACATACTTAACAGCGTATCGACTCGGTTTAATTCTAGCTTCTCTGATAATTGAAGCATATTGCGAAGGCAATGATTTCTTTGTGCTTCAGCTTTCGCTCTATTACACTGTGGACGCTGTCAACTACCATCTGGGTGTGCCCTCGCTCGAGATACTTTTGTATCACTGTTTTGTCATTCATCATTGCAAATCTTCGTATTGCATTTGACAAAGTGGTGCACCTGTTTTGATACCCGCAACCATCACTCCAAAGAATGTAGGTATCATATTTGTCAAGATTAGACTCCAAAAAGTCAACAACGCATGAAGCAAAATCATTTGCACTCAGCCCACCTTGACCCTCATGCCAAACATAACATAATACTGTGCCTTCGTTCATTTTATACAGAGTAAAGTTATGAACACCAAGCTTTGTCTTGTAGAACAATGCTGATGCCTCTAGTCTTGGGCATAACAATAACGCTTGTAGGTATAGTGTAAGCACAAGAGTCTTACTATCAGTCTTTGTGCAGTGCTCCTTGTCTTTCTGTTTGGCTTCTCGAGCAGTATCTTTCCGCCTGCAGTGGACTGCCCATTCATCTTCAGAAATGTTTCCAGCCTTGTATGAACAACACGTATCGCACTGATCTTTACGTGGTCGGTAGAGACTCAGGTTCATTTCTAAGAAAACCTTGCATAACAGTGAGCGGCAGGCAGGCTGGGCGCCACTATCCTCACAATGTTTACAGTATAGCTGATGCAGCTGTGACATTGAAGTTATTTCAGGTTCAAGATAAAGTTTATTGGAGGAACTGCGACAGTAGTGCGATGGTACCTTTGGAAGTTGATCTAAAAACTGCTTCACAGAATCTTGACAATTGTGACTTCGGGCTCTAGCATGAGGTCTGTTCTTCGGTTGGTTTTTGTTCTCGTCACCATCCTCGTCATCCTGGGCCCAGGAATGAACTGTCCACTCTCCGATACCGATCGTTGATAGAAACATATTTTTACACACCTGTTTGCGGAATTCTGTGCCAGGTACTTTGAGATGGTATGCTAGAGACGATTTGCGACGTGATACGTCTCTACCAACAGTCTGTCTCTTAACTTGTTGCACATCAACTAGAGCTCGGACGTATACTTTCCTGCTTTTCCAATCCATTTTAGACCAAAAGTTTTGAAATATTTTTTGTCTAGAAACGTCATCAATGTCATGACAGTGGCGATTTTTACGCTTCTTACATTGATCTGAGTCCTTTCTCCGACCTTTGTATGCTTTCCCTTCCATTCTATACTCCTGGTTTTTAGTCTGTCTCCACTGTCCTGGGTCAGACTTTCGTGGTCGTTTTGGTGGTATACTGTCTGCCTCTTCACTACCTGAATAAAACAGGTTGAACATCAGATATCGTACTCTCAGAGGATGAAAGGCCAACATTTATCTTTCGAGTTTTCTTGCACTATTAGAGCAAACACACATGTCGAATTCGGTAGGCAAAATCTGTCTGGGAGCCTTTGTTGTCTATTGCCAGTAGGCTAAACTCTTAGTTAGCCTGAGTCAATCCAAAAATATAAGAAGGCTCAGTTTATTTCGGGCTTCTGTATACAATTCTATTTGCAATCTTCACAAAAAGTTGACAATCAACTAAAGAAAATTTTGTAACTTTTGGCTGAACATGGGATTGATCACTTGCTTTAGTAGACTCTGTGATTGTATAGCACAGGAGAGTAAAAATACTTACTTATATGATCTGATTCATCTTCTTCGGAATTTGTCTCTGGTTCCCAATCAGCATCATCATCTTTATCTTCTTCTACATCACTCTCATCGCCTGGTACCATTGGTTCGTGAGGTGTGATGTCATTTATTTTCTGGTCATTATCAGCAACATTGCCTTCGGTTTGTACTTCAATAAAAGTGATTGTGACTTCTGTTCCGTCACCATCATTGCTTAGCTGCTGTTCAGCAATTACGTCAGAAATAATGTTAGAAATGAAGTCGGAATTTGGTGTAGCATTGTAGTCACTGCTTGCAGTTTGTTCTACTTGATTGTCAATTGTTTGTTTTACCACCGGATCTACTTCAAGCTCAGTTGGCAAGTCTCCATCATCACTTGACAAGCTGTAATCAGCTACATTGTATGAAACATTGGCAATCCTGCAGAGTTCCTCCAAAGTTAGATCATCAGACATCACTACCTGAAGGGAGAACCATAGATATTAGTCTAACTATAGA